CCGAGGAGGCTCGGCTTTGCCCTGGGAGCTTGGCAGGGCTTGATCACAGGGCCAGACACCACACACACACGGCCTCGCGCATACACACACACACACACACATAAACACACACGTACACACACGGCCCTTTTCCAAAAACAACATTTCTTGGCACCCTCCGTCCCTGCCACTTGTTTAAATAAACAAACCGGTTCATGAAGGAAGTGAAAAAACAGTACCACGTATGAATCAGATTATCCACTGTTACTCAGCAAAAAAAAAAAAAAACGCAAGGGGGGAAAAAGCAGCAGAGGGGGCTTGTGGGTATTTTGGATGTGTCCACGAGTTCTTACACCTTCTTGTCCGGTGGGATACTTATCATACCACTGTAACAATTAGGGCAATTAGGGGTAATGGCAACAGAATTCTGGCTCGGCAAGAAAGTTTCTCAGTGCTTGTGAGGTTTCTCTACGCCCAAGTGTGTTGCTCGCCTGGATTTTATAATCACTAAAACACTCACACACACTCTCCCTAACCCACCCTCTTCATTTTTGGCATGATACCCATTCTGTTCCCACTAAATTGCAGAACACACATGCACATACACACACAGCGTGGATTAAATTAGCCACATAGTTTGGGAAACTTTCTTTCTTTCTTTTTTTTTTGACAACCGCGGTGCACGTTTCTAGCCCGCAAACACTTGCAGACACGTACAGATATCCTTCACAAAAAAACAGTGCGCACGCGCAACATGCACGCCCTGCAGATGCATACCGCTGTCGACATTTCAGGAGGAGAAGCCTGTCTGGCAGCCATTTTATGCCGAGCGGGGTTCTGTGCACATGTATAGCACTCTGGCTGCCAGAGGCATGGGTCCCGAGCCAAGACGCATTTCAGCAGCCTGGGGAGGCGAGGGGAGGGGAGTGTGGAGGAGAGGTGGAGAGGGGTGGACTCCCAGAGAAGTAGGGAAACAGAGAGAGGGAGAGGGGCAGAAAATATCGACCTAATTACGGAGCAGCTCCGATGCGTAATGTTTCGACAATACAGCTGCTCCTGAGTAAATATTTGATGTGGCCGTGCAGACTTTTTCTCTGCTCGGTGTCCTCCTGCTTTTTCTTTCCTGTTCCGGTGCAGGAGAACCTGTCCTTCCTTGGAAATGCGCGGCCTGAAACGTGCCTCTGTGTGTGTGTGCAGCACGGCGGCGGCGGCGGGGTCACGCAAGTCTTGACAGCGTGCATAAATGACTGTACATGTGCTGGTATGCGAAGTGAGCGAAGTGTACTTTGTCCCATGTCCTCCTCTGCTCCTGGTTTCTATCACTCACAGCTTCGCCGATGACCTCACGCTAGTCGGGCCGGCGTCCAACAACCAGCAGAACCTGCTCCCTTCTTCTCCAAATCTTTCTTCCTTTCTCCTCGCTATCTGTCTATCGCTGTCCCTGCGTTTGCAACAGTATCCGTCCTCCATTGTGTCTTTTCATACCCACCTCTGTGTATGTCAACTATTCACCGTGTATCTGTGACAATATCGTCTTATCCGCAAATTTTCTTCTTTTTTTTTTTGGACACTTTCCTCTCTTTTTCTTTTAATGTTTCCATCTGTGTTGGTGCTCTCGTCGCCCCCCCACCACCCCATATTACCGCCTTTTTTATTTTTTTTTTTATTTTAACGTCCCCCCCCTCTCTCTCTCTCTTCACTCTCATTCTATCTCTTTGTCTCTCTATCTCTCTCTTCTCTCCCTCCCTCACGCTTTGTTGTCTAAACAAAGTGGCCTTTATCGGGATGAGCCGCAACCCAAACAAGCCAAACAAAAGATATGGGCGAGAAAATCTGCCCGCAGAAGAGGGAGGATCTTATCGTGCCAGCCTTTTGTGTGCCAGCCTGCCAACTGGCGATGCCCCCCACCGCCGACCCCTCCCTGCACACACACACATATACACACCGAATTCTGGCATCTCGGGCCCCCCCACCAGGACTCACGCATGGCATTCTGCAAAGAGCTGGCACCTGACCTGGCCGAAAGGAGAGTGATATAGACGGCGGGAAGACAAATGCCGCGCCAAATGGAATCGCCATCTTGGGGGTGGCATTGTCTCTGCAAGGACGATGGGCTTTGACTAAGCAGTAAATCAACGAATTGCGGAGGGGAAAAAAAGCGTCCCGGCGCGGTACAGAAAGCGTGCATCTCGATACCTGTGCGCACACGCAGAAATGCGTAGCGTTGTGTTGTTGCTGTGACAAACTAGGACCGCGCTGCCCCAGTGGCGGCTACACACTGTGTGACACTGTAATGATTATCTCATAATTGGAACAAGGCGAGTATTTCTTATTGGCTTAAAGGAGCACCTGGTAATCCGGATAGCCGCCCTATCAAATGACTGCCACTGACGGGGAATGCAGGTACAGTAGGATGAGTTACACACACACTCAGACACACACACACACACTCAGACACACTCAGACACACACACTCAGACAAATGAGACAGAAAAGCAGAGAGAAAGTGAGAGGGGCAAAGTTGAAACGTCTGTGAGAACAATGAAATGTTGCCTTCTTTTCTCTAAGACAGACACCACAGACTTGTTCAATAGAGCAGGAGGGGAGACACACACACACACACACANTGGCTCGCCGCAATATTTGTGATGCCACTTGGCCACCCTGCCAATCATCTCATTTATTAATCTGGGCTTTGACTTTTCAGCCAAAAGGAGAAAAAAAAAAACTGTAAATCAAACAATGATGCTGCAAAAAAAAAAGCAATCATTTGCCACACAGTGCTGCTTCCTCCAGATTACCTCATCCTACTGTACGAGGAGAAAACTGAACGTCCTGCAAAAAAAAATGCTTTGCTCGAGTTCAGCTCAAGAGTTTCATTTCGCCCGTGCATGCCCACGTTTTCTGTTGACAAAATATTTTTACACTTGCAGTCGGGGCTCCTGTTGCATTAATGAGTGTCCTCGTCGAAATGCTGGATTGCAAGTCAGCCTTGAACTCCGCAGCTCCCTTTGATGGACTTCAAAGAATGTCTCAACAGCCCGGAGAGTTGGGAGAGAAGCGCGATGACGGACGAGCGGCTGCTTAGATATCTTCCCAGGGAGCGACCGGCTGAGTGAGTGACAATTCCTGTGCGTCCGTCGACCTTTTTAAAATTCCAGCTCAACTTCAGTCGGCTTTAGTGAAACCAGGCTCGGTCACATGAGAGCAAACATGGCAGCGTAGTGGCCATCTGGTCAGGGGGCAAATTAAACGCTAAACAAAAACACAGACTTTCAAAAGGATATTCGGTCTCTGAGCGCCGAGACGGGCAAGTTTTGTCTTTCCGAGCACATTGTGCGAGACAATCACGACGATTTTGCATCAGGAACATGCAGGAGATGAACAAGTTCAGCGTTAAATGCTGTTTGTTATTATCTAAGCTGGACAATAGGATGAGTTTTCGGACATTGTAAAAATAAAAGCCTCATTAAATTTCATCTCTTTAGTAGTTTGATGTGCTGGTTTGTCACTTTAAGGCTGCCATTAACCTTTATTAGCTATTTTTTTGACTCATCTTTAGCGCATAAAACTGCTCAGCATAATTTCCCAGAGCCTGACACATTAAAACTGCTCGCTTTGTCTAACCCAAATATATTCACATAAAGCTCACATTTGTGAAGCCGCAGCTGACATTTTTGCTTAATAATTGATGAAGCATCACTCTAATATTTAGAGGGAAATTCAGTATGGTGATTAGCAGAATTTATTTCATCCCTCTCTCCACCCAGTGTGCCTTCAGACTGACCACAGCGCACACAGACAACGGCGCGCTTCTGGTAAACACAGGTTGTCGAGGGCGACTGGAGTCTTTGTGCACCGCGGGCACGTTCGCCGGAGCTCGGAGGCAGCACAGGTAAACGGTGCCTTGACGTGCCCCTCAGTTATCACAGGACTCGCCGAGGAGCAACTGTCAACAGCTCTGCAGAGAGCAGACATGTCTATACAGATGAGCGCAGGCTCGCACAGACAGCTGCACGCTCAAGTGTTCCCTCTTTATTGCAGAGCGGGCCGGCCAGGTTGCAGTAAATGCAACAGTCGACGTGTAGATCTTTAAAGAAAAACTGCATTGCATGGAGCAGTCGAGGAGAAAAAAAAAAAAGGAATCAGGCGCTATTATCTGTATGGAAACAAGTGAAGGCGTTAGTCTCTTCACACCCACGCAGGTGCTGTCAGTTACATCACCTGATTTGCCCTCTTCTTATCACCGTGCGAGCATGTATAGGCCGTGATTGAGCCGACAGCTTCCTGCGTCTCATTACCTCAGCTGCACCTGTTACACCTATAAGTAGCTTTGGTGTCTTAATGTGACCCCCCCCAGTTTAGCTCCACCCGGCTTCAACCCGGGTTAATTCAGCGTTAGGTGAATTAATAGCTGAAAATACCTGTGTGGGCGCGAGGGTATGTAAGTACAACACATCAAGGCCTCATCCACACGTAGAAGGGTTGTTGTTTTTTTTTATTTAAATGCTATTTGTTTAGGCTTTACATGCACATGTAAACGCAGCTTTAGCATGCTGTCAGCAACCCTTTTTGAAAAGCAGGGTGAAGATTTTCTGAAGCAGTGTTGATACGCCGACAGGAAAAACAGGGCGCGCGAGGTTATCTCCTTTTGTGAGCCGATTTTGTGCAAATGTGGCCTAAATAGCTGCTGCTGCTGCTGCTAACCTCGCTAACATGACTTCTTACATGTACAGCACATACATGCACAGTTACAGAGGCATCCGATGCTGTATGCTTCCTGCCCCCCCCCTCCCCACGTTGTTGATAGCCTGCCAGAGGTCCAGCCATTTTCCAGGCTTCTGATTGGTCAACAACTCCGCAGCGGTAGAGTTGCTGCATCGTCGCCTATTGATTTGGCATGCTCTCAAGTTGGTTTTTGTTTGAGAACGAAGAAGAAGAAGAAACGCATTTCAAAAAAAAAAAAAAAAGAAATACCCGTGTGGACTCGGCCTGCAACAATACAACAGCTGTGTACTTACTTCTGGACACTCGCACCAGTTCTGCAACACTGAAGACTCCTGATTTGATGAAACTGTCTTCCAAATATACTGCAGACAAAAGGACCATGAAGACAAATTATGCGGCGATTATTGTAGCTGCGATCATCAGTTAAACACATCTGAAATGCTCATATGTGGAGGGTTTTTATTTGTGGGGTGTAAAATGAACACAAACACTTAAAAAAAAATTGCATTTGACGTATTATTTTTTCTTTTATTACTGTTGGTATTTGTGTTTATTTTATCTTTTTTTCTAATTGTTTTTTTCTTAAATTTGATTTGAATAATATTTTGGAATTAGGACAGAACATGATGATAAATTAAAGACAAATAAACAAGTATAGATCATTTAAGATATTTTAAAATGAAGAAACCGTCGACCGCTCATCAACCGTCCTTTTCTTTTTCATCCAGCATTTTTACTACCGTGACATTTTAGTCGCTAAGCTGAGAATGAGTGGATTGTGGAAAAAACAGTTGCTCCACTTGTTTTTCATCCGGCGAGGTTTAAACCAGCACACGGCGTAAAACCATTCTGCCCGGCGCGATAAAGAGTGACAGGACAGGTGTGCGAGGAGGAGGGAGAGCCACGCGGCGGAGAGCTGCTCGTACGGTGAAAAAAGTAAAACTTAATAACTGCCAGCGTTAATGCTGTTATGCTAAGATACAGTATTACAGCGAGAAACAACCCATCCAGGAGTGTAATTTACTGTCGTGCTGATATTAAAGATTATTTCGAGAATATGAGACTGCTTCATTCTTTCCAAAGTAAATAAACTGCTTTGGGTTGTTTCAACACAGCCTGATTTTTTTTTTCTTTTTGTTTTCAGAAAACTATTTTTAGGGCTAAATAAAGTACAGTCCTAATGTATTCTGTTGGTACATTTGTTGAGAACTGCGTGACCTGCTCAGGACTCGGCATCACTAATCAGAGGCTGTCAGTCAACTAAAACAGCCAGACAAGTTATTGACACCCAAATGACTCCGGCTCCGCTTTGATTCCATGCCAAGGGCGCTCGGTCTGTGCCAGAAAGATAGACGGGCATCTCGATTGGCACCTAAAAAGCTTAATGCCTCCAGTGAGCCAACGGCTTTTACAAGGAACTGTGCCACTGCCGAGGGCCTCCCAGGCCTGAGTCATTGGCTCGCTAGCATGTTTTCCTTGGCACCGGTATCAGCAGAACCTGCTCTTGAGGTAGAAAACTAATTATACTTCTCAAACTATTTTCATTCCAACATTGTGACGACACAGCGCAGGTCAGTCCAGGGGAACAACAGCACTGTCAAAGAATATTCTCCACGGCTCGGCTTTGCTGGCTCACCTTGACGCACTCAGCTAGCAGCCAAAAGCGCAATCTGCTGTAACATTTTCACTCCGGATCTTGAGTGTCTCTTGCTTTTTTTTTTTTTTCTTTTCACAGTATTTAATGTTGTCACTGGAGCGATGACAATTCAGTTTTAAAGAGGTAATGAAATTTTTATTCCTCCTTAGTCCGCGTAAAGTTAAAACCTTGGGCCTCAGGTAGACTTTAAGTTTTAATTTTACACAATTTCACCACATATATCAGGTTATATTAACTTTTTTTTTTTAAATCAATGACCTCCTTTTGTGCAGTTTAATGCATGACATGATATATTTTTACATGCTTACATGCACCTACAGCACATTTTTTGCAAGACAGTAAAAGCTATTTTGCCTGCGAGTCACAGAGTTCACAAGACTTTGTAAACCGGGCAGGTTACGGTGTACATAAGCCGCTGTACAGTGGGCGAGCTGCAGACGAACAATAGAGTGATGACAGGAGGGAGGAGGGAGGATGACTGGCACTGTACATACCTGGAAGAGGGTTCTTGCCTGGCTCATTGTTACTTGGACTTCCTGACTGCTGCGACTCTGCAAACACACAGAGAGAGAGAGAGAGAGGGGTGGGGGGTTAGTATAGCAAGAAGACAACAACATCCCACAAACACAGTGATTATTAGCAGCAGCAACAACCAGGGACCATGTGTTGTGTTACTTAAAAGTCAATTTATTTGCACTCCTAAACTCAAAATGAAGACGAAACTTCTGTCAAAAAGACGACTTTTCTTCCCGGGAGCTTAAAGGTTTTTCTCTTATCTGCTCGTCAAGAGGAGCGTACCCGCTGTACATTAAACAAGACAGGTTTGTTTGAACAGCGGGATCATTAATGGGAGCGCAAACTGAAGAAAAAAGCTCTGCGTCTGACACGGGATAACCTAAAAGTTTTCACCGGCGGACCTCTGGGTAATTTTTCAAAGTGTCTGGGGGAGTGCTGGGGGGATACAGAATGTGTTCGGTCCTGCTGTGCAAGGTACAAGCACAGAACAAAACACTGCGAGAGGACAGGAGGGGCGGAGAAACACAAGGAAACATGAGTGGAATTCTTTCCACCGGCTATGGTGCGCAGGCTTCGGTATGAGGCGTCCCGGACTGACGTCTTTTACCTTGAAGCCTCACTGGGAGGGGAGTGTATCATTCCTCAGTAGTTCCTGGTTGATCACCGACAGGCACTGGGGCCCTTTCTCCTTTTACATCATGCACCACAAAAGTTATGAAACATGAACACGAGTGGCATAAATCACTATCCGATTTCAATCTGCACATGCAGTGCTTTTGTGAGCGTGTTGGAAATAAAAAGAACCAGTGAGTCAACCTCGCAAACTCCTACTGCACGGAGCTGCCGCTGCGCCAAGCAGTTAACGGCAGCGTCTAAGCAGACCCCGGTAATGATTCAAACTGGCCCGAGCCCACACATGCCATGAGACAGGGAGGGTGCGATGAGAACCAGCAGGGAGATTATCATCTACACCTTTAACACGGGAGAGCTTTAGCATGAGGCAGAAGAAGCTGGAGACGTGAACTCAGATACCCTCGCCTTGCAACAACACCCCTTTTCCTGCCGCAGCTCTCATGAGCTGCGTTACAGAGGCAACGCAGAAAAAGGAAAGCGAGGGGGGTGGACGAGAGGAGAAGAAAAAAGTTGAAAGATTTATTCCGTTCTTGCTCTCTCTCTGTGTCGCTCTCCCTCTCTCTCTTGTTCCCCCACTCCTAAATTTGACTATTAAACAGCACTGCAAAAACAGAATGTTCTTGGCCGAAGCTCAACAATGACAAAGTAGGGAGGGAGAAGGACCATACGTTAAGCAGAAAAAAAAAAATCCCCCTTTTCAGAAAGCTTAGCCCTAAAAACGTACGAGCAAGTTGCGGCCGTACAACACATCTCTGCTGCGCTTCCTGAAAATATAAAAACCACGAGCTCGCTTCTCGTCCAATAATCCTCTTGAAGATGTTAAAAAATCATTTTCATTGCTGATTATTTCTAAAAATGACATCTTCAGATGGCTTCTTTTGTTCGGCAGTTTAAAAATAAAATATTAAAAAAATCAATTTGCAATGATATGAAACAGGAAAAAGCAGCAATTGTTCAAAGTTGAGAAGCTCAGAAGCGCAGAATGATTGGCATTGTTGTTTGCTAAATTATGAAGAAGATTGGGTTTCTTCTGCGAGAAATAAAAAAAAAAATCTGCATCGCGTCGTGCACTTGCACAGCGAACATGTCATTGTCTGACGTCAGCCAAATAGTTTCCTTTGGCTCGCACCAATAAACAGCGAGTCCCTTTTAGTTTCCCCCCAACATGCACACACATCGACTGTAAAGAAGCTTTTGTGGGCCAGTGGAGGTTTGTGTGGATTTGCCACAGCACATGTCCATGAAGTGATTGCTGGGAGCTCAGTGGCCTTCTTGTCTCCCTGTCTTCTCCCCCCCTCCACCTCCTCCTCCCCCAACCCTTGCCACTTTCAGAGTCATCCATCAGTCTAGTTACAACTGCCAACTCTGTGCTTATACTCCCCGAGAACCGCTGAGAGGGGAAAGAAGCAGGCCGGGGCAGAGAAAAGAGCACGGAGGAGGAGGAGGAGGAGGAGGTGAGCGCTGAAAAGGTACGGAGGAGAGAAAAAAAAAAGAGCGGCGAGGAGGTGGGAGAGGTGCTCCGGTTCAGTTAGATCGGATCAGAGTTTTTGTGTTTTTGTTTGTGTGTTTCTCTCTTTCTGCTTCTTCGAGGGCTGAACAGGCAAACCATAACAAAAAGAGCAGATGGTCGTGGCAATTAGAGATCCCAGGCAGCATCTTCCAGCATGAGGCCCCACTGTAGCACCAGGAGAGACCACCTGGATGACTCAAGGTGGGATACAAGCATATGGCACATCTGCCAGGCCTGCACCGGAGCTGGAAACACCTCCCCAATTGCATTACATTTTACCTTTGACCCAAGAAGGGCAGCTTTCGTGCTCCTTCTTTTTTTTTTCCAGGGCGATTATGTAGCTTGCGCATTTGGACGGCTGCGGATTTGTTTGTTTTGTCTATTGTTCTCTTGTTCTAAGTGGCTTCCTTTCAAGCAAATGACAAAATAAAAAAAAAAAAAACGTGGAAGCTCGCCTTTTTTTTTTGTAATTCAACAGGTATTTAAATAAAGCATCTGTTTCAAACCGTGCAAGTGAAAAAAAATAACACAGCTCTGGAACAAAGTGTGTTTAATTTGTTTTTAATTTTTTAAAAGGACTTCCAGACGTTGGATATTCGGAGCCTGAGGCCCGCTATCTGTATCTCAAAGGTGTCCTGTGCAGAAGCCCGGCCAATCTGATAGTCTTCAAATAAACAGTAGTGTAACCTGTAAATAAACAGTTGCGGCCGAGGAGGCTCGGCTTTGCCCTGGGAGCTTGGCAGGGCTTGATCACAGGGCCAGACACCACACACACACGGCCTCGCGCATACACACACACACACACACATAAACACACACGTACACACACGGCCCTTTTCCAAAAACAACATTTCTTGGCACCCTCCGTCCCTGCCACTTGTTTAAATAAACAAACCGGTTCATGAAGGAAGTGAAAAAACAGTACCACGTATGAATCAGATTATCCACTGTTACTCAGCAAAAAAAAAAAAAAACGCAAGGGGGGAAAAAGCAGCAGAGGGGGCTTGTGGGTATTTTGGATGTGTCCACGAGTTCTTACACCTTCTTGTCCGGTGGGATACTTATCATACCACTGTAACAATTAGGGCAATTAGGGGTAATGGCAACAGAATTCTGGCTCGGCAAGAAAGTTTCTCAGTGCTTGTGAGGTTTCTCTACGCCCAAGTGTGTTGCTCGCCTGGATTTTATAATCACTAAAACACTCACACACACTCTCCCTAACCCACCCTCTTCATTTTTGGCATGATACCCATTCTGTTCCCACTAAATTGCAGAACACACATGCACATACACACACAGCGTGGATTAAATTAGCCACATAGTTTGGGAAACTTTCTTTCTTTCTTTTTTTTTTGACAACCGCGGTGCACGTTTCTAGCCCGCAAACACTTGCAGACACGTACAGATATCCTTCACAAAAAAACAGTGCGCACGCGCAACATGCACGCCCTGCAGATGCATACCGCTGTCGACATTTCAGGAGGAGAAGCCTGTCTGGCAGCCATTTTATGCCGAGCGGGGTTCTGTGCACATGTATAGCACTCTGGCTGCCAGAGGCATGGGTCCCGAGCCAAGACGCATTTCAGCAGCCTGGGGAGGCGAGGGGAGGGGAGTGTGGAGGAGAGGTGGAGAGGGGTGGACTCCCAGAGAAGTAGGGAAACAGAGAGAGGGAGAGGGGCAGAAAATATCGACCTAATTACGGAGCAGCTCCGATGCGTAATGTTTCGACAATACAGCTGCTCCTGAGTAAATATTTGATGTGGCCGTGCAGACTTTTTCTCTGCTCGGTGTCCTCCTGCTTTTTCTTTCCTGTTCCGGTGCAGGAGAACCTGTCCTTCCTTGGAAATGCGCGGCCTGAAACGTGCCTCTGTGTGTGCAGCACGGCGGCGGCGGCGGGGTCACGCAAGTCTTGACAGCGTGCATAAATGACTGTACATGTGCTGGTATGCGAAGTGAGCGAAGTGTACTTTGTCCCATGTCCTCCTCTGCTCCTGGTTTCTATCACTCACAGCTTCGCCGATGACCTCACGCTAGTCGGGCCGGCGTCCAACAACCAGCAGAACCTGCTCCCTTCTTCTCCAAATCTTTCTTCCTTTCTCCTCGCTATCTGTCTATCGCTGTCCCCGCGTCTGCAACAGTATCCGTCCTCCATTGTGTCTTTTCATACCCACCTCTGTGTATGTCAACTATTCACCGTGTATCTGTGACAATATCGTCTTATCCGCAAATTTTCTTCTTTTTTTTTTTGGACACTTTCCTCTCTTTTTCTTTTAATGTTTCCATCTGTGTTGGTGCTCTCGTCGCCCCCCCACCACCCCATATTACCGCCTTTTTTATTTTTTTTTTTATTTTAACGTCCCCCCCCTCTCTCTCTCTCTTCACTCTCATTCTATCTCTTTGTCTCTCTATCTCTCTCTTCTCTCCCTCCCTCACGCTTTGTTGTCTAAACAAAGTGGCCTTTATCGGGATGAGCCGCAACCCAAACAAGCCAAACAAAAGATATGGGCGAGAAAATCTGCCCGCAGAAGAGGGAGGATCTTATCGTGCCAGCCTTTTGTGTGCCAGCCTGCCAACTGGCGATGCCCCCCACCGCCGACCCCTCCCTGCACACACACATATACACACCGAATTCTGGCATCTCGGGCCCCCCCACCAGGACTCACGCATGGCATTCTGCAAAGAGCTGGCACCTGACCTGGCCGAAAGGAGAGTGATATAGACGGCGGGAAGACAAATGCCGCGCCAAATGGAATCGCCATCTTGGGGGTGGCATTGTCTCTGCAAGGACGATGGGCTTTGACTAAGCAGTAAATCAACGAATTGCGGAGGGGGAAAAAAGCGTCCCGGCGCGGTACAGAAAGCGTGCATCTCGATACCTGTGCGCACACGCAG